ACAGCAATGCATTCCTCTGTGGTAGCATCTCGTTGCACATGTTTACCTGGGCTTATATACCTTAGAGGAATAGTAATGTCAGCAGACAGTTCGATGATCAAACTCTGGCATACACACCATGCAACCACACTTGTATGAATATTTCACAGCATTTCTTGCATGCTGACAATAGTAAATCCAGTGACTCACTCCACAACGCTACCACCTTGTTACCGTGGAAACTGCATCTCCAAACAATGCCAGTAGTGATTTCCTACAGCAATGTGATGCTCAGAAAGCCAGTCCAAGGATAAACACTGAAATTGCCTGGAAGCTCATAATGATAGAGAGTAAACGTGTTACTAATGAGTGGAACGTGCACTATTCCACAGCACAAGAAGAACATCAGCTCCAGTTAATGAGCAGTGAGACTTACAACTGCCCAGTACCCTCAGGCAAGGTGCAATGCTGGAATGTCCAAAATGGTGGCCACATTATCCTACAATTGAAGCTGGATCAATGGACAGCTCACTTCCACCTGACAGTGCCCTTTCACAGATTCAAATGGCTCTATAAAGATGGGAGTATTTGTTTAGCCTTTTTATGCTAAAAAACTCAAATTGCAGTTTCCATTTTACATCTTCACCTAGACTTGCACAAGTCTCTAAGGTAAAAATTAAGAGTTTCAATGATAATTTCTTTAAAAAATAATAAATAACTGACTGGGGTTCTCAGATGTACTGTCCGCTTATCTAGACTTGCCTCTTAGAAGAATATCATTACTATTCATCCATGGGCTCAGCACTCAGTACAGCCTTGGAGCAAGGCTAATCTTCACCCAACTGTAGTAACAAATTCAACTTGCAGATTTAATTAATCTGACTATATATATGCAAAAATTCAGACTGTTCATTCTTATTAAGAGCTTGTAAATAGGAGAAAAACCGAAGGCTAAACTTTAACTGCCTTGAGCAAACACTTGCCAAAGAAAATGTCAATGATTGATTCAATGTTTGTTTAGCCAATAAGGTATCACTTTATGGGTTAACAATAGTGCAGATGATTTGCCCATGCCATTTATTATTGAAAGATATCCAGCTGATGGACACAGTACCTGTCCATGGTCATCGCCTGTTAGGTAAATGGTTGTGAGGGAGCTGCCAGCTGGACCCAAGTGGAGTCCTCCATAGTCATAGATACATTGTGCAGCAAGCAAGCTCCACAGACTGAGCCTTGAGAGCCGTGTGTATTACTCTCCACATGCAACTATATTGATTCCTGGTCAAACAGCACTTTCAACACATCAAATCAACCATCAATAACATTATGATGTCGTAAGTAGTTCATTCAGGCCCAGAGTATTACGGGAGATTTGATGCAATAAGTAAACTGTAATACAAACAGTAATCCAACACTTGCAATGTTCAGGAATCACGCATTTTAAATCATTGGTGGTCCCTGCTTGAAATACACACTCTGACAGGACAAAAGACCATATTTACACACCACCAACACCCTGTGGTCACTGGCATCTTGTGTTACCTGCCTCAATAAATCACGGTTTGTGGTGGACATCCACATGTCACGGACCAATTCAGCTAGAAAATTGACAAGTATGTAGGGATCAGTTCTCAGTGATCAAGATTCCAGGTATGTGTTGGGTGGGACATTAGGGAGGGGGAGAGAGTAGAGGTGAGGACCAAGTATAGCAGTAATAGTTGTTTGTTTATTTTAGTCTCATCTTGTACATGCAGATAATGTATATATAAATTTATAGAGCTATGCATGCACAAGCCGCCAAAAGTGAGTGAGTGAGTATGGTTTTACGCCGCTTTTAGCAATATCACAGCAGGGAACACCAGAAATGGGCTTCACACATTGTACACCATTGGGGAATCGAACCCGGGTCTTCGGCGTGACGAGCGAATGCTTTAACCACTGGGCTATCCCACCGCCCTCCACCAAGAGACTTAAAAATCATTAAAATATGTGAGATAGAGAAAATAATTAAAATATATTACATAGAATTATAGAGCCGAAATAAAAAGCATGACACACACACAGACACACATGCACACATAGTATCAGTGGTAAAACACAGAGGCGCTCGCACAAAGATACACGTGCACAGGTATTATGTGTGGTGACAAGTTTATTTCTATATCTCAGACCAACAAACAGTGACAAAATTGACCCATCACTGTTGGAATTGGGCATCTGCAACCCATACTCGTTGCTGTTTTAGATCAGCCAAGTTCAAGTATATTTTCACAGAAAGGTAACACAAATTTGGTATTACCAATGTACCAGTATACAATAATTTGAAATACTAGTGACTGCCTATCACAAGGTTTGGGAAATTCCTGTTTATTGTATTTTTCAAAATGTGATATATTCATGCTGTTCAAGGCGATATTTAAAAAAATGGAAGAATATGAAATTATCAAAAACGGAGCAGGGAAACCCCAATATTTGGTTGTCTAATGTTATCAATTCAACCTTCATGTAAAATTCTAAATTTTTTCACCTCAGACTTGAGAGTGGTATTTGTGAATGGACTGGTCTATAAACATCTAGGGAGACAATTTGTTACAAGATGTTTACAGGGGCCATTTCAAAAGATGACAATTTGAGATATGAACAATGCATCTTCAAATAGTACAGAGATAGTGTTTCAAGTATTGATGCATAAAATGTCAGGGTATTTTGTAACAAAATGTGGACAAGTATTTATACAAATCAACACTTGTAAAAAAACTGATAAACATTTATTCAGTTCAAATAACTCAAGTTTACTAGATCTGGGTCAGAAGCTAGTACCACATGTTGAACTGTCATCAAGTACAACAGAACCCAGCTGAAACAGACTGTGCCAGGTATAATTGTTCAACATATACAGAGATACAGAAGCCAGATCACAAGGTTCAAACTCAGTGCATCTTCCTATTTTGAATATATCTTTGAAGATACATGATCCACTTATAAAAGTTAATACTGTAAATGACATTATGAAAGACGGCAGGAATACTTCACAGTCCTCATCCTAGATATTGCCACAAACAGTATATATCACAGACAGAACATTGTCAAGTGAACTGTATGTGATTTACTACAAGAAGTCAGTAAAATTCAAGACTGCTGAGTATTTCATGAATTATTCATCCATACTTGCAGCCACTTTGACATGGCTATTACAGACATTTCAATATTTAAGTGGCTCTTTATATGATGCATGCTGAGAAACTGCCATTGTCTGACAAGAGTTCCTGTTTTAACATCTGTAGGATCAAGGAAATGTTTTTGACTCTGCCATTTCTGTTTCATAACTGAATTCATTTATTCATTATGACCTCTTATGATGGGATTGTAAGAACTTGATAGAGATATTAAATGAAAATTGGAGTAAAACATCTCATTTTACTGACACTGATTTGCAAGAAATCACAAGAACGTGTACACAATACAAGGCCACACACACTACTAAACCTTCTTGGTGTGAGTCAGACGTTTTAAGTTTAAATAGTCATGAACGGTGCAATATCAAAGACTTTCATATGATATTTGCTTCACAAGTTTTGTTTCACTGCTTCATATGCATAAAGCCCAACGATTCTTATGCTTAGTAAGTGTCCATGTCAAACACCAGAGTCTGCTTATCCTTACGTATCATCAGTAACAAAGGTTTTAAATGATATTATTAGGTGGGGAAGAATGCTATGTTGCCAGAGCCAAAAATATTCATATTTTAGAAAAAAAAGGATTGTTTTTTTTTAAATAAAAAACAAAAAAGTTGGCTGGTAGTCAACCTGCCATTGCTCACACTTAAAAACCATGAGTCTGCTATTGTTACTTATAATAATAGTAGCTACTTCTGTGCCCTGATGCCTCAGCCACTGTAGCTAAATGCTCACTTGCCACAGGCCAACAGCACAGTAACATGCTCAAAGTAAAAGGCAAGTGTTTATTAGTTATACTGCAAGTAGCAGAGTGTCAGTGACAGGAAAGTCATAAAACTCACCAACTATATTATCATTACAATAATGACTCATCAACCAAAACTAAGCTTAAAGAATTATCTTAAAAAGATCAATTGATTCAATGTTCTGATGCAACCGGACAAGCAAGAGCTTGTGGTGCCATGTTTCTCAGAAAGGTAAGGCACACCTGAACCTTCATATATCCCCCCACCCTCCCAAAAACTAACACCTGAGGAAGGTGTAGTGTGCTGAATACTAGTGTTATCTAGCCTAGGTAATAGGAAAACCGGCTACTGTTAACGAGCTGAGCTGCCTGCACAGGTAATGCCATAGTTTAATTACCAGTAAATTACAAGAGCGATAACGAGAAAAGCTCTCCACAAAAAGTGGTGTGATGAGCTGGTGTCCCACTGCTAAGAACTTGATCTGCTTGCTCAGTGACAGCAGTAGTATTGACAGGTGTAAACTGTAAACACTGTGGTAAATCTAGGCTACACTGTGAACCTCGTAGCTTCATTATACATACCTGGCTTAACCGGTCCACCTGCTACACAGTGAGCATTGAGCAGACAGACCCATATAGTGACGTATATATATATAATGATATGAGAGAATTGTACACAATGCACTCAATTTATCCACATATCGTCTGTATCGTTTCGACTTAATAATACACATTACTATGGCGTAGCTAGATGCACATTGTCAGACTTCATTCTAAAGACAGTGCAGCAAACATGGCCCAATCAGCTCTATTTTATCAGATTTTGAGAGATAAGACTGTCAGAATGAGTCGTCTGCTGCTTGTGTAATACATGAAAGGGCGACTTCTGAAGCCTGTCGACCTATCGACAAACGGTTTTATAGCTGTTGTATACTATGTAACAGTAGGCAGTGTGATGAGTATCTGTCATTCAGCGTGTGCTTCATGATCGATATTTTGAGATCATTTGTCGGGTTGTCTGTGTCAAATCTGCTTGTTTACTGAGGCTAACAAACATCTCCCATGCAGCCAAACAACGCACAAGGCCTTTCAGTACTTACTGTGATCAGGAATAACTGTAATTCCAAAACAATAACGCCAATAATCCACACGCTTGCAGCAGTGTCAATGTGAAGCTTCGCACTAACCGCTCGAGCGTGAGAGACTACACGTGACGGCAACAGCCAATGAAACAGCTCGTTTCTTCCACCCGGTTCGTAGCGCACCTGCAACATGCTAAATGGATGTCAGCAAAGAAACGAATGATATCAAACACGTAAATCTAAATACATCTGTGAGTCAGACCCACATATGCCTTTCAGCGTGACGTTTTTGGCAGATAGTACATTTTGTTGACAAATTATTTTTTAAGTCTTAATACAGAGTTTATACGCATTATATATTACAAATAACCTTTCTTACAGGGGACGTCTCAAACGCAAGTTGTGTAATTGTTCTTCTGATCGAATTTCACCCTGGCGTTTATTGAACATGGTATTATGGAACCGTTTGATGTGCTTCATATATGATCCTGTTTTGATGTAAGACGGGAGCAATGTTTATTGCAATTTAAGTAATGTAGTATAGGGAAAATATATAGAATTTAGGAGATTTATACACAGATATATGTGCAGACATGGTGGAAACCCCATTTTGAAATATTACAAGTACATTTCAGTATACCTGTAATAAATAATTATGTTCAAAATACCTGTAATTTGTCTGTTAACTGAGGGGCGGTGGTGTAGCCTAGGGGCTGACGTGTTTGCTCGTCACGCTGATGACCCGGGTTCGATTCCCCACATGGGTACAATGTTTGAAGTCCATTTCTGGTGTCCCCCGCCGTGATATTGCTGGAATATTGCTAAAGCGGCGTAAAACTAAACTCACTCACTCTGTTAACTTACTAAATAATACTTTCGAAAATTGTAGTTTGTGTTGTGCTAATTGTCATGAACAAATTGACTTTGACACTCCAAAGTGATATAGCTGTGAAACACCACCGTGATATAACTTTGACACTCCACCGTGACATAGTTATGAAACATATCCGTTTTATTGCTGTGTAACCACACGGTTATAAAAATAAACCGCGAAAGCCCACCGTGATATAACTTTCACACTCCACCCTGATGTAACTCTGACATCCCATAGTGGGATAGCTGTGAAACCCCATCGTGATACAGTTTTGAAATCCCACCGTGATAAAACTTTGACACTACACCGTGATATAACTTGACACTACACCGTGATCAGAGACCATATAATATTATATGGTCTCTGCCGTGATATAACTTGACACCACATCGTGATATATAACCTGACACTACACCGTGATATAACTTGACACTACACCGTGATCAGAGACCATATAATATTATATGGTCTCTGCCGTGATATAACTTGACACCACATCGTGATATATAACCTGACACTACACGGTGATATAACTTGACACTACACCGTGATCAGAGACCATATAATATTATATGGTCTCTGCCGTGATATAACTTGACACCACATCGTGATATATAACCTGACACTACACCGTGATATAACTTTGACACTACACCGTGATATAACATGACACTACATCGTGATATAACTTGACACATCACCGTGATATACATTTGACACTACACCGTGATATAACTTTGACACTATATCGTGATGTAACGTGACACTTCATCGTGATATAACATGACACAGCACCGTGATATAAGTAACTTTGACACTACACCGTAATATAACTTTGACACTACACCGTGATATAACTTGACACTACGCCGTGATATGACTTGACACTACACCGTGATATAAGTTGACACTACACCGTGATATAACTTATGACTGCACTATATATGACTTGACACTACACCGTGATATAAAATGACACCACACCGTGATATGACTTTGACACTACACCACTTGACACTACACCGTGATATAACTTTGACACTACACCGTGATATAACTTTGACACTACACTGTGATATAACATGACACAACATCGTGATAGAACATGACACAGCACCGTGATATAACTTTGACACAACACCGTGATATAACGTGACACTGCACCGTGATATAACCTGACACTACATCATGATATAACTTTGACACTACACCGTGATATAACATGACACTTCACCGTGGTATAACTTGACACTACACCATGCTATAACTTTGATACTACACCGTGATATGACTTGACACTACACCGTGATATAACATGACACAGCACCGTGATATAAGTAACTTTGGCACTACACCGTGATATAACTTTGACACTACACCATGCTATAACTTTAACACTACACCGTGATATAACATGACACTACACCGTGATATAACTTGACGCTACACCGTGATATAGCCGTGAAACATACGCCACACGAGCAAACGTTTAGTACTTGAAAGGAAGAGAAGTAGTTGTTACTTGACACGAGTTGTTAAAACGTTACCTTGTCAATCTTCACAGCATTTCTATTATAGTTCAATTATATACACTTAAAAAGTAGAGGAACTTCTTCCTTAATTTACAATTGAAAGAAAATGGGAGATATATCGGAGTCAATCAATGTTGATGTGATAATAATGGATGTTTTGAGAGTGCATCAATGTGGGGGACTCTAACCCGGGTCGCGTGACGAGCGAACACTTTAACGATTAGTCTACCCCACCGCCCCTTTTTTTGAAGAGGATAGATAAACATATCAGCCGTGTCAGGGAGACAAATACTCTACACAATACGGGTTTGATAACGTTCACACATTATAAGATATAAGTTTAAAAAGTCTGTCCTCTGTACTAAAATGTATTGAATGTTCATAGCATTGTTGCTTCTATTAAGATATAATAATAGAAATGCACAATGCTTTGAATTAATGCACGGTTCGTTGGCGTTCCCAATCGACATATAATACATTACAGCATCAGAAAGTGTTATTTTACTGTCCACTTCGTAATGTTCTACTTAATGAAATTTCCACATGAAAGTGAGACTACAGCCCAAGCAGACTCCAGGGTCTGATAACTCTGTCTGGGATCGTTTTCCACCTGAAGGCGTTCAGGCATATAGGGTCAGACACGTGAATGCGCCTGTCATCGAACTCCAGAACTGATTGAATGAAAACAAATATCGCAATGCAGATAAGGCACCCAGCTTCAGTTACGGTGATTATATGTCGAGATAACAATGGAACAATACTAAGGACGACCCAGCAGGGTATAATACATTAATACCAAGGGATTTGTCTTCATATCGAGACTCGCGAGATCTGAATGCTTTAAGTTCTTTATGATGCCCCATCGCTGAAAGACAAGAGATCCTAGTTTTAACTTCCACTTTTGTGTACAAGACATTCTCTATATGTTCATGCATGTAATTTGAACGTTTTCAGCTTTCTAAACAACGATGTGTCTGCTTGACAAAAACTCCCCACACCTCTTGCAACAATCGGCTCTAGATCTACACCCTATTTTGAATCTCATGATCAGTGGTTCACGAACATACATTTTTGCTGATAAATGGAATGTACAGGTTAATATGGTTGAACTGTGATGAATTTCTCCGACAGAGTATGTCATGACAGTATGTAACTGTAAAATACCCACTAAACCAATGCCAGAAATGCTTGGAAAATGATTGTTGGCAATTATTTGATAATGGTTGATATTTCAGATTCAAATCTCATATATAATCATTCATACCACCTCGACCTAATATGGCATATGAGTAATCACGATGTACCATTCCCTAATCATAATGATTACTCGTAAAATATCGAAAAACTTAGAAATGATTCCATGGTAGAAACACTTCTAAGAAACAAACTATACTGTGACCCACCTGGCAGGCAGACAGACAGGGTGACAGTGTTTTGTAACGCACGGGCAGTACATGTCAGGGACCGTCTCAAAATATCAAGTGTCAGTATCACTGCTTGTTGAGGACTCTAGCGGAATTACAACAGATGCAACTCTGCTGATGTTAACGCCGTCCCGTAGACGGTATTCGTCCTCGATTTTGAGATCACGGTCTTCAGCCTTTTGCCACACTTCTGGGGTAATTATCGCAAAAGAAGCATACACAAGCTCTTTAACGTCTGAAAGCTTGAATGTGGTATTGTTGCGAGCAATAAAATTCTCACAGTTACCCCAGATCAGTTGGATGGGATTGAGCTCACAGTGCCTTACTGGTGTACGCAGAACTATGTGGCCTTGTTTTGCTGCTAGTTCGTCAGTGATGAACTGGATTGGCTTTTTGTGCTGCCGGAGTTTTATTTATTACACCAGGTTTCATCAAGGTATATAATTTGAAACCCCAAATTACGGTATCCTTCAACTGTTCTGAGATAAGCTGATCGCATGGACAGGATTGAGTACTTTTCTCTAAACACAACTCTGCCATCTGCCCTTTTGGTGTACCTGAACCCTATTTCTACCAGCGGTACAATAAGTGTTGTTTTCGAGACATTTATTGTATCTTTGATCTCTTGTATTTTAGCACACGTCCGTGGGATTTTGCGTTCGTACAGTTAATAAACTGCACGGCGTATGACACCCTTATCAAAGCTATCCAGTTTGTGTTTCCTACCTGGTTTTGATTTTGACACGACCCCTGAGGTAACTGATTTGTTTACAACTTTGTAAACCTGACTATATGTCAAATTAAGGGCTTTACACATTCTACAGTAAACCCTGTCATAGCTGACGAGAGGTTTCCCCCTTTGTTTTTCCAGTATGAAATACTGGTATAAATTTGAAATTAATTGTTCTGCAGAGATATCAAGTCGCATGGTGCCGGTTCAATGAAACTTTTATGGGTGAACAAGATTATCTGTGCGATTTGAATTAAGACTTTTTTACGTAATTATTTTGAATATAACTATTACAAGGGTTCCATCTTTTTCACATATAGATGTTGAAAAACCCAAAACGTTTTACAATCATTTATGTAATTTAATTAGTTGAGGCTATATGAATAATTATAGTCTGTATTTCAAAACTACAGTTTGTACTTAGAATATTTACGAATGTTGTTAAAACGTCAAAATTTCCTCCTGTGAAGTCACCCCTCGAGCATTTTTTCATCTGAGCTTTCATATTCAACTGGGTAGAGTCGTACATGTATCATATATGTGCTTTTATCTTGTGTCAA